TTAGAATTATTACCACACACACACACACACACACACACAACACACACATACATGAGCCAGTTAATAGAAGATACACAAAGTTCTAGCTTTTAGGTTATGTCATGCAATAAGTGTGTCTAAAAAGAAAAAATCAGAATGCCCATCTTCCCATCAATTCCAATAGTGGTCAGTCAAACCTCACCAAGAAAAACTTCATAGGTATGGAATGTGCCCGTATGTCCAGAGCATGTACCAATTCAGATGTTATTACCAGCACTCATCCTGTTCAGAACTGGATACGATAGCACTTATATTGAACTATTTCCAGATTACTGTAACAAATGTAACTTTGATTACTGTAACTTTACTATGGTAATTCCTCAGGAAAGCTGGGCAGGTACCACAAATGTTCAAGAATGGCTATTGGAATCATGTTTTTCTATCAACTGAAAATTTGCTTGCAATCAATGAAAGAAGCCATACAAATGCTGCTATTTTTCATGCACTGTTTGTTCAAACTTCAGCTACTTGAATCCTCTGCACATAGTGTCAGTATATTATTTTCACACAATAAATTTCATTCACAGTCACAAAAACTGTTTTTAGATAATACTATGAAGGTATAATTCTATGGGTTCATGCAAGACATACATGTAATCATTCTAATTATTCTTTTAGAGCAACAGATTTATCTAAAAAGGCAAAGAAAAGCTTTATAGCAATGTATTTTTATATTATCATTTTGGCAAAAGTACACAGATAAATAACATTTGGTTGGATCATTTAAGGATCATATGCCATGTTCATAGCTCAGGCAACTATTTTGCAGCTGCCGCTTTATCAAACTGACAAGTATAACCAATGGACTGTGATAAGAATTTTTATCAAACCCATGGGTATTTTGTTGTATACATTGAAGACATGGTGTAATGCTATTACTGTTATCACTTCATGGTCCAGAATTGATTTAATAGCTCAGAAATATACCCAAGAAATAGAATTTTATATCTGCATTTTTATAAATATTATTTAATAAATATGGTTGGAAAGAGTTGAGTATTAAATAGCCAAATATGTACTAGTGTGCAATATGTTAGACAAACTAGTATGGCAACGGTGGTTTCTTTCACTTTTAGAACATAGAATCCATTCACAATGTATTGAAGCAAAACATATTCTTTAATTTAAAGAGCCAGAAATGCAACAACAATTCTACATACTATAATAGAGCCCTTAGTTTTACTACTCAGACATTTTCTGTACAATATGGCTAAACTGCTTGGAAATAGTGTGTACATTCACATAGCCATGGCATTACCACCTGCTCTCTTTAGCTGGCTTGGTCATGAAGTATCTGGTCCCCCAGCTGAATAGCCTGGCAATTGTTCCTCCAAGAGGGAAACGAAAAGGCCATCCAGAATACATCACTGTAGCCACTGGCCATTTGATATATCTTTACATTTCATGTGAAACAGTCAAGGTTGTCCGTAGCTATGGGCCCATGCACTAATTTTGTACCACATGCTCTGATTTTTGCCATGGCATCTTCTGCAGCTGTGTTCATTATCAGCTGTTTTCCTGAAGCATCAAGAAAAGCAGCCTGAAGATTTAGTACATATCAGTGTTTGTCCTGAATCAAGAGAAATTTGCTGCAAGTTGTGCAAACATTAAGGTATGCTACATTCTCTTCTCCCTCTGTGTTCTAGTAGAAATTGTTTCTAAAACTAGTGTAGTGTTGGAAACATATTCTACTGGCATGTAGGGATGCTATTAAATGAGGTGTGCAAAGGTAGAACACAGCTGTGGTGCGCATGAGAGCAGACCATCCTTTCCTTTAAATTATGCCAGACCCAAAAGACCCTGCAAGCTATTAAACTGCACCCCTAAACAAGGTTGAACTCTTTTTTAATGTCCCCTTTTCAGATAATTTAACTACCAAGTTACAACTTTCTTTGGACTTTCATACATCTGATAGACACAACTTGAAGATTTAGCACATAGGCATGATACCAGATTACATATCAAATGCTCAGCTGAAAAAGCAGTTAACATTTGGCACAGTAAAATTTAGTAAAGTGAAACATCTGCAAAGGTTGTTTAATAAATAAAAGAGTGGGCAGTATCCTATTCCATCCACAAACCAGTGGCACCCACCGCTAGCACAATTGAGAACTAGGGGTTTAAAAAAAAACACCTGAAAGAAGCACAAATTCCTGGAACTGGGCAGTTCAGTGGAATGTACAGAAAAGAGCTCCATTAACATGTTCTGATCTAGAAGTGAGTTTTTGTTTGTTCCCTCAATTTCTTTATGAAGTACTAACTTCCTATTGCATAAGCAGTGGGTTCCATTGATACAAAACAATGAGCAGGACTACAATAGCCCTGCTTACCCAGTAAAATTTAGTTTTTTGCCCATTCCCCTATAATTGTCTTACTTGTCTCTCATGTAAGTTTTGAATAGTATCTTCCATTGTTTATATTTAAATTACCAAGGGATATAATTGCAGTGCAGTTCTATGACTCTTTGTTCAGAAGTCAGTTCACTGATGTCAGTCAGATCTATTAGGGACATGTTTAGAATTACAGCTTTAATTTAATAATGGATTAGATAGTATAAGTAAACCCTGAAGAATGAACAAAATGAAGTTATGGATGATGCAGCCAAAATATTTATTTATTTACTTACTTAAGATATTTGTATGCCGTCCTTTGCAAAAGCCTCAGGACGGCTTACACAAATAAAATACAAATACCTAACATAGCATAAATAAACTAATGACCCACTCTGGCTGCAATTAAAATATGATGATAAAATTCAATATTAAAACTTATTAAAATATTGATTAAATAAAAAGTTCTTAACCTGGCACCGAATATCCCTACATTCTGAACAGGAATTGGACAAGAAGATAGCATTAATCAGAAGCAGTGCTTAAAATGCAGTAGAGAAAGAAGTACTGTCTAATCAACTATAATTAAATGGAAGGAGAGTGAATAGTAAGGTAAGATGCAGAATGCAGAGACACAAACATTCACTTCCATTCACCAACAATGCCTGGAAAACAGCAGTGGCCATAAATCAACACTCAGGGAGATATGCTGCTAAGATACTGCACTAGAGGCTAAAATAAACACAAAACTATCCTTCTGCCTTTTTTTTTTTTAACTGCCTGCTTCGTTACACCATAAATCGTAAGTTCTGTGGCCCAATAGATTGTTTGGACTGCAAGTGTCAAAAGAGAGGATTCTCTCAGTATGTGTGATCATTATGATGGGTCTTAAAACATTTTTAATGCACAGTGTGGTTTAACATCTTGATTTTATTTTGTCTTCTGGGAGGATTGCCATAATTTTAAAGAATTCTGCTTGCACTTAAGAACAACTACATTGTTAACCATTATGACTGAAGAGGGAAATGTTAGGTACAATGTTGTATATAATGAACTACCACGTTTAATTATGATAGAAAAGGGACAATTAAACCTATAAAAAGTTAAATAACTCTTTCTAACAAAATGCTGCCATTAACTAGATATGACAGCATCAGCAGTTTGATTGTTTGCAGGCCAAGTTATTTTTTTCCTATTTCCCTTAGTCCATCATTGTTATCAATGTACTTACAACTAAGTTTACAAAATTCAATCCAGCATGTAACTTCTTCTGATAGGAGAAAGCAACTATATATCACAGACCTATGTGCTATTGACAACTGCTTATATTTCTTGATGCTAATTATGAGGGAACTGGCTGAAAGCTTACGTTTTATTGAATCTCCCCATTATTGAATCTCCCAGAAGAGTACAATTGTCTTGTCATTCACATGCAAAGATCTGGTCCACAGACCTCTAATAGCCCTTGGGTACTGTTTGGGACGATCTTGTTAGAAAACTGATTCATGTCTTCAATACAGTAATATACCAGTTCAGATTCCAGCTATCCTCAGAGATATTTTTCTCCATCCAGTAGCTCCAATATGTTGCGAGTACCTTTTAAAACAGTCTTTGAAGCTAAAGAATGGATGCTTCAAATCTCCTTTCAGCTTACGGTATCTTCAGTTTCCTAGAGCTCATAAAAATGTTGCCCTGCTAGATCAGGCTGAAGTATTCCTTTAGTCAAACAAAATGCTTCCTTCAAACTGTAGACCACACTTTCTCAGTCTGGGACTATCCAAATGCTCTGGAGTACAATTGACTTGGGGCTAATAAGAACTGAGGACTAAAACATCTTGAGGGTACTCGGTTGGGAAAGGTTGCTATAAACCACTGCACACAAACTTAAACTAATGTGAAATGTCCATTCAGTTAATGTGAGAATCATGACTAGAAGCCATTTATTCTAATCCCAGGCAAGAAGAGACTGGTTGTGATTATTTGGTGATAATGAACAGTTACTGTTTATAAGTTCAAAGGTAACCTTATATTAATTTAATTCATTTTTGGACCAAGTCTTGGTTTTGAATACAGGTTTCAGAACTATTTACTGGCAATTCCATGTTCTGTGTAAGACCTGCTGTTTGTCTTTGTCCTATACCCTTACTTATGCAAGTTCTAATGTTTACTAATTGTAAAGGCTTGGAGCTTAATAGCTTTAGGAGTTTTATGTAGTTGAAGTATCAAGTACAGCAGAACAGAACAGACTCCAGAGTGCCTTACTTACGGACCGCGTTGCTCCTGTATCAGAAGAAAATTAGCAGGATTGTGATGACAGGTTTCCTTTAAACTTTAAAGTATGGGTCCTATTTTCCCATTGTGTGCATTCTCATCTTCAGGAAAAACTAAAACTGTTAAAGCCTAAACAAACACGATCTGCAATAGCACCTGTTTATTGATTTAAAGTCAACAGGGCTTGTCTATCTAAAAATACCTATTTCAGCATGGTTCTCACAGTTTATCCTCACCATATCATCAGTCTCCACTGCCAAAGTCCCTGTACTTCAGAATCACAAAAAAAACATAAGTAGAACAATGCAATATGATATAGTCTTAACATATAAAGGTACATAGCATGTGGAAAAATGATACCTTTGACAAATCTCTGAAGTTACTTGGAAGCGTAAGATCCAATTCTTCTGATTCATAGTTAGTGATTACCCAAGGAAATACTGGGTACTGGTTTAAGTCATTGTATGTACGTCCTGGTGAGCAAGAACAGCAATATTTTTTTCAGGGGCAATAGAATTAAAGAAAATCTTGACCAACAAGACACAAACTTTTTGATAATTTGATCCACTGTGATAATGTGACATATATATTAATTTTAGTTTCCTGAATTTGCTTAGTTAACAAAACTGCTATAGACAAGATGGTTTCCAGAATTAAACAGGGAAAATATAAACTTTGCAGGCATCCAAGACTGTTTACACAGAGCAGAAGATATTATGTGGGTACTATTAATAATTTCTAAGCTGCTTACCATGTAAATCAATATTATGTTTACTTTATTAATTGTATGTATACTGTTGCACACTGAAGCACCATTTTAGGATAAACTATGGATGTTGGAGAAATCCATAACAATTTCAGACATGTTGGATTTTTCCAGGTCACATGGATTGGAAAAATGCGTGGACTTGCAGACTGTTTTTCCTTATAGGGGAGTGGGGAGATTTGCACTAATCTGCAAGTGCATAGTAGTGCTATACTGCATCAATGCTAATGCAGATTAGAAGCAGAATGAAATTGTGGCAAAAAACACAACTCCATCATTGAACCATGATGCAATGAAAGTTACCTTACAATCCTCGAAACACAGATGGAATAATTTTAACAAAATCTGTACACTGCTATAAATATAATAAAAAATTAATTGAAATTGAAAAATGATAACAGAATGCATGCTGTATCAGGAAACAAAGGTGATAGATACTATAGCAAAAGGAGTATAAACAAATTAAATGTCTAATATAACTTAGAATACTAAAGTTTTTATAAATATTAACACATGGTAGCAGTATTATCAGCCAAAGAGAGAACAATAATTTCAATAATTCCCTCAAATTACTGCTACCAAAAAGAATCATTTGTCCATATTATCCTTTATGAAGCATTCCCATTACCTGCTATAGTATTTAGAAACATGAGATATTCAAAGTTTGAAATTTCTCTGTGCTGCCATCTCTGGGTCATATTTGATGCTTTAAAGATCTGGCGTGGACTGGCCATAGAAATACGTCTGAAAGATAAAATCAGTATGTTGAATAACATACTGTGTGGCTTTGTATGCCATGACAACCTGTAGTGGCAATAAGCCATAGAGTGGTTGGTCTGCAAACAATCAAGCTCCCTGTATATGGTTCACTCCCACCAACCTCTATCCTCCAGGTAGTATTCCAAGGACACTGAAGTATGACCAAATCAGGCCATGCCAAAGTAAAACAGATAACAATCCTGGACACTGCCCCAAAGAGGATCCAAATGGGTACTTTCCCCCTCTGCTCTATCTTGACAACTGCCAAAAGGCAAGCTTTCAAGAGAAAGCAAAGGCATGAGTAACCTTTGAAAAGGGGCATAAAAGGGGGATAAAAGATTTTACATCTACATCACAACCTGTTCCTCACTCTGAGGACTGTCACGGGGAAGAAAAAAGTAGAAGATCTTACTGTTTTTCTGATTACTGGCACTCCCCTGGTTACAAACAAGTTCTCTTGCTGAGAAACTGGAAATTTGTCTATTTGTTGAATTTGTATGTAAGTTGGATCATGTATATTCGGCCTACCACATTCACAGGGGTTAAGGGCACAGAACCCCCTTGAAAGTAGAAAAATCATGAATATCTCTAGCCCCCTCACCTCACCCAAATTTACCAGTGCTTCCCCTTTGCAGCAATGAAATGCCAGAGAGATTACCATCTCTAGATGGGCAGGGCAGGAAGGCATGCTTTGGAGGCCTCCCTCTCTCCCATTCTGTTTCCTCTTCCTCTCTATGATGATTATAATTTTCTTCATTTTTTAAAAAATTAATATGCTGTATGGCAGTTTGTTCATAAGTATGGGTTATTTAGAACTAGGATGTTCACAACTTGGGGACTGCCTGTATGGTGTTTTTTTTTAATATAATCAGCTGCTCTTGTTTTCTAAGAGTCAGAGCCAAATTCATCATACCTGGTTTGAGGCAGTCCATAACTACTACCAATCCCAACACGAGGTAGATATTTAACCACTTTTTTAACCGTTGCAGAATCTGGGAAGTTGAACATGACAGCAACTGTGGGAGGCAAAATTGATACATTATTCACTGACATTTATCCTGGGATTCTTGGCTTAATGAACAGAAGACTGAACCCTGGAAATATAGTGCATACATCTTTGAACAATGTCCCAGTACAATGTTATTGTGTTGCAAAGAACACGGTGTTCACTTCCATGGAATGATTTTACATTAGCTACTTCAATGTCAGTACAGTGGGCATTACCAACCAATAGACTGGCTTACATAAGTATGGAAATTCCTTTGATCAGCTACTGATCAGGAAAGCTGTGCAGATACACACATAACACTAACCTACAATTAAACTAACCATGTTTGTTTATCCTACTAACCATGGTTTGCTTCCCCAATTTGTGGCTCATTTCCTTCCCTCTATCCCAAATATGTTTGAGCATTTGTACTGTGATATTACAATGCAGAGCTGCTGGGTGTTTTTTCCCCTGCCACTTTGGTTTTATAGCAAAACTCTAGATGTCACAATCCAACAAACCAAGGGTTCTCTTTCTGGATTATTTATTAGTGAGCTTGATACCAGAGTTGTGTTCACACAACACAAAATCCCAGAATTCACCCACCCAAATAATGGGTTGGAACCGGGTCAACTTTTTCAATTTGTGAACCTCTCATATTTTTTCACTTCTTTTTCCATCTATTCACACCAAAAATAAGAAGGAAGTGACAAAATAGTTGTGCAATACATTGTGGTCAGCAGAGCCCTCCATTTTGGAAACACCCATAATTGTACTCAATTATGCTGTTTGTCTATGCTGTTGAGACAAACCTTGTAATTTAAGTTTAGAACTCATGAAAGGAAGCAAAGAACTACTTACCACTCTCCACATTAACAGTTCTCCCTCCCACCCATGCCACAGATATATACAAAACATGCAATGTCTGGTCATATGTGGGAATGGAGGAATGCATTCAAGAATATGTAGTGAATAAAATTTTAAAATGCAACCCCTATCCAGTAAAACAAACAAACAAAAAACAGAAAACACAATCTAACACAAAATGATGGTAGATGTCTATTTCAAGCTATCAAATCCCATTTCCAGTATAACAGTACCTCTGTTTGCCATAAAAATTTCCAGTGCTGTGTTTTGCAACAGATAGCGTCGAGAAAAGATGGATCGAATCTCTGAGAAGAGCCATTTTCCATGAAGACCCTCCGTATAAGCAAGTATCTAATAATGAAAGATAAAAATCAATTTAAAAGAAATGTTAGAGTAACTATTCCTTCCTTTGTGAGTTCACATTAGTCCTATTTGATAGCTTTTCTTTTAGTCTACCTGTACCAAAACCTAGAAAGCAACAGTCTAGAAGCATCATCATCATGAACTCTGAAAAGAAATAAACTGTGCATATTAAGTGATTTTGCAAAGATGCCATCTCCAGTAGGTGAAAAGCTCAGTTTTTAAAGCCCTTGGAACACAAACATAATTTTACAATTACAGTGACTCTATTACATTGTAAATATATGAGACTCTGTAGGGCTTTCATAACAAATTGAGGCAATATGTTTTCATAACAAAATATATGTAAGTAAAGACTGAGATGACAAATAGTAGAACAATCAAGTTCTACATAAACACAAAAAGATGCACAATTTCACAATACAAAAAAATGTTTACTGTGAAATTGTAATTGGTTTTTAAAAACAAAACAAGGACATTTACATTTTTAGTCCATCCAAATTGACACCAATACACAGGCTTTCAGATATCACCTTATCTGAGGAATCATCTATTAGTAAACTACAATATGAATGAAGAGAATGCTGCTGCATACCATACTGTTTGGTTCCAGTTTCTCCCCTTATTTTCTCTCATGGATGGGTAAACAAACAAGGAAGGGGTAGTTTGGGTTTTGTAAGGTCCAGGGTATGGACGGCATGTGACTATGGTCAAGAAACTAGGACCAGGGTACTGGTGCAGGGTGAAGTCCTATAGCATATTCCAAGGGCAAGACCTACATTTGTTTAACAGTCCAGACTCAAAAGCCAGTGAAACTATGGATTCAAGCAAACAGAGTCCAAGATCACACAATTCAAGAACACAGTACAAAGATCAAAGGTCAAATTCTGGGGAAAAAATCAGATTCTAGAGCAAGGTAAGGTCAGGGAAGATGGATGCAGATACCTGTGAGTCGAGACCAGAGAAGATACAAGGATGGAGCCAGGAACAGACTGGAGTTGGGCAAGAGTTATGAGGGCAAGCAGGAACCAGGATCAGGTGAGGCAATGCAGGAAGCCAGAGCACAAGGAAGTCACTGGTTCAGCTCATGCTGCTGTGGCAAGAGCAGCAGAGTAGGGACAGCTTTTATTCTGTGTCTGCAGAACAAGTAACATCTTTGCAGGTGCTTGAGGGGTCACTCAGGCCCTGATCCTGACAGTTTTGATAAACCTGGGATTCCAGTGAATTATTCCCAAACAAGGTGAGATTGTAAAGCAGTTTAAAACCATGACTGGTTGTTGGCTTGGAGAATCCTTACTTTTCAGAACACATTTAATTATAATGCTGGGTTCAGACATAACACAGAACAAGTCCTTTCTGGATCATTTACCTGCTCATGTAAACAGAGAAGTGAACAGGATGTGTACACCTTCAAGGTGCTGGTTCATATATCAGTTTATTCAGGCAGGATACATGGTTTAAAGTGATATTCAAATGTAGCCTTTGATGGCATTCAGACACAACATTAGACTATGCTTTTCATTATAGGAAGTAATCAAGCCTCAGAGTAACATATGTTCACTTCCCACTTCTTGAAGCAGAGCCACCAGGACACTGGAAGCTTTTGCTTCCTCAATTGACTAACTTTGGTTAGTGTTATGTCCAAGTCTGATAAACTGTGGCTAGTTTAACACTATTATTTCTGAAACAAGTTAACTTCAATCCAACATTATAAAGATGGTTCATTTCAACTAGCTTGTTTCAAGAAACCATGGTTAAAATTAATCACAGTTTAACATTTGGGCATAGTGGGAAACTGCAAGTTTTCAAAGGCAGAAGTGAAAACTTGTGATTTCTTCTTCTCATTTATTGGAGAAATTCTCATTTGAGTATGAATTGCTAAGAATCTGAACCTTGAACATCCCTCCAACATAAAGTTAGCACCTATTTAATTACACAGACCTGTACACACATAATTTCATTTAAGATACCATAATATATACTTGGACGGAATTACTATTTCACCATAATGGAAAAAATATTAAGACAAAAAATGGTAATCCACCTAAAAATCTGTTTTTAAAAAATTAAGGCAGAGTTCATTCTACTGAAATATAACATTCTTTTAGAAGTTAATTTTGTCAGTGAAAGCGGAAGTCTTAAAAAAAACCCTCAACATTTTCTTTCTATGGAATTGGAATAACAAAATTGTGCATTACAATTCTCATTATCCCAAACTGATAGAGATGCTTAGTTTGCCTTCACAATTCAAATTAACAGCTTTTGCTATCCACTCCATTACTCCATTGTTGTAGTTTTGCCTTTGCAGTTACAATCATAATTATTTGGTGATTCAAAGGAATTGCTATCTATTTACAATAAAGACAAATAAATTTATCAGAGATTTGCTTTCAGGAGTAGCAATCATGCATAAAAATATAGAAAATGAAATGGTAAAATTCTAATAAAAATGAAACATGTATCATGCAAAAGAACTATGTATTTGTAGAAATTATGAATGAATGAACCAGAGAAGGTGAATTTATGTGTCAGACAATGCCCAGGGTGTATGCAATCTGAGGACGAGAGCCACAGCTACCACCACAACATTTCACAACAACATAAAACTTTTGAAGTTACAGTCTAGGATCCCAACCATTTGCTTAGGCATGCCAAAGACTACAGCGGGGTATCAGAATGTCTGACAATGAACAGCAGACACTCTCAATAACCTGCTACATTTTCAAAAGATTCTCAGGGTAAAATGTATCATTTAGTTAGCTACACCTATTTAAATATAGTAGAGCAGCAGAAACATTGAACACAGTATGAATGTTGTATTGCTAGATTTTACAAGGGAGGAGAGGAAGAGAAAAGATATGAAAATATTTGTGGAAGTGGGCACACCTGCCTGGATACTGAATGTTGCATCCAATATCTATTCCTGCACACATAAACCCTTAATTCCCTGAATAACCATTTTATTGTCATTCTCCTTCCTCCGCCTCCCCTGAAAAACAGAGGGCTACTGAAAAGTGTCCCAAACTTGGTTTAAAGAAGTACAGTTGGCTGTCTCTAGTAGAACCTCAAATATAGCCACATAAAATGTAACAAGCACTACTAAGCAATTTCTGAAGCATTAACTAGAAGAAGTTATCAGTTTGGAAGCAGCTGAGGCCTAACTAAAACAGACCTTCATTCCTCGTTGGAATAGTATCTGCCTGATCTGTAGACTCACTTCAAAGTCTCTGGAGTTCAATTAAAACTGGATTACGGGAAAGCAGTCCTTCTTTGGGACTTTCTGTTCTTGGAAACTCCACACATACTGACAGCACCCTAGACAGAGGTCTAGCCCTCCAATGAACCAGTTGCTATGGAAACTGCATCATTACCACTGCTTCGCTGTTATCACACCAGGCATATTAGTTTGAAAGATACAGAAGACACATGTATCCTCCTTCAGTGTACACTGTTTAGGTTATCTTAAAGCATCCGTGCCATCTTTTGTTCTTATTTTTCTTTGTTCAACAGGTTTAACATTTTCAGTTTATCCCTCCAAATTCAAGAATCTTTAAAAGAGTGAAGAAGTGAACACTTGAAGTATTGGTTTGATTAAACAGATCTAAAATGCAATCTACAGACTAAATGTGTGACAATGCAATCATATACATGTGAATTCAGACATTAAGTGCCATTAAATTTAACTAGATTTACTTCTAAGTAAGCCTTAGACTCCAGTTAACATATACTAGCATGTACCAAGAAGGGAAGATATAATCTTCCTCCACCTCATTTCCCCTTGAAATTTCATCTCTCTCTCTCTCTCTCTCTCTCTCTCTCTCTCTCTCTCTCTCTCTTTCACACACACACACACACACTTTTTTTTAAAAGAAAAAAGTCTCCAATTGAAACTTTTTTAAAAAATTGCCCCCATCTCCATAGCTGTGAAGGATATGTGTAATTTCAGGGGAGAAACAGGTATGTCAAGGTAAAGGCGTTATCCTTCCTATCTAGTACACGCTGGTTCACTTCCAAATCAGGCTTGCAAGTGATCACACCAAAATTAAGAAAAGTACCAGGCTTAGCTGCAAACTGCATAACATCTCACTGCATAACATTTGCTGCCCCATACCAGATATTTTTCCACTTTGTGATTACAGAGCATACTGAGCATACAATCTTCTACAGTTGGACTTAAAAGGCTTATATTTTCTACAACAGAACCTCCCAACCAGTTTCTGGAAACCTAAATATTAGTATAGGAACCTGCCTCAATTTAATGAGAAATTGGCTCCCTTCTGTACTAATGTGTCAAAATCCATTTTATTCAGCTCAAATATTGTTTTCTATACACATATCAACTCATACAAGTAAACCAAATTATAATTGCAATACTATTGTGGGTTTGGAAGAACTGGGTTTAAATTGGGAAGTGCTCCTTCTTACAATGATTTGCTATCATGCACTTTTTTTTAGTTTTTTTTAAAAAAAAAAAAAAAACAACTTCTTAAAAGAATTCCAGATGAAATTTGAATTCAGTGTACCATTACAGTAAAATAACTACAAGTATCTTCACATGAATTTTCCACTGATTTTAATGGAACTTATGCCTGTAGTATCTTTGAGTAGCTATTGATATAGATAAAACCAGTACTGCTTCCATGCAATTTGCTTAGGGAGACATATCAAATAACTTTCCACAGCACACACATGGTTCACGATAGGATTTTCTTTCTTTTCAGCTTAAGCAAAATGTTTATCTAAAGTATTAGTGATCTTAGGCATGTGAGTAGTCTAGAGATAATTAAATTTGCAAGTGTCATAGAGCTAAATCAGTAACTGCATTACTATTATCTGCCATGCAATGTAAATCAAGGAGACAGAAACAAAATAAGGGTTGTTATGAATTATAAAACTAAAGGAGCCAAATGCCCAACACCAGTTCCTCAAGTGACTAGATTTTGTAGCTTCAGAGCATAAAAAATGCTTAATACATCATCTATGACATATTT